TGTTGGCCATCTGAATTTCTTCTTTAGAGAACTGTCTATTCAGCTCCTCTGCCCATTTTTTAATTGGATTATTTGCTTTTTGTTTGTTGAGGTGTGTGAGCTCTTTATATATTTTGGATGTCAACCCTTTATCGGATCTGTCATTTATGAATATATTCTCCCATACTGTAAGATACCTTTTTGTTCTATTGATGGTGTCCTTTGCTGTACAGAAGCTTTTCAGCTTGATATAGTCCCACTTGTTCATTTTTGCTTTTGTTTCCCTTGCCCGGGGAGATATGTTCAAGGGGAGGTCACTCATGTTTATGTCTAAGAGATTTTTGCCTATGTTTTTTTCTAAGAGTTTTATGGTTTCATGACTTACATTCAAGTCTTTGATTCATTTAGAATTTACTTTTGTGTATGGGGTTAGACAGTGATCCAGTTTCATTCTCTTACATGTAGCTGTCCAGTTTTGCCAGCACCATCTGTTGAAGAGACTATCATTTCCCCATTGTATGTCCATGGCCCCTTTATCGAATGTGAGTTGACCATATATGTTTGGGTTAATGTTTGGAGTCTCTATTCTGTTCCATTGGTCTGTGGCTCTGTACTTGTAGCGCACGTGTTCTTATCTAGAAAAGTTCAACACTAAAAAGATGAGATGGAGCCTCATACATGCAGGTGGGAACATAAGATGGGGTGGCCACATGGAAAACAGATCAGCTATTCCTTAAAAAGTTAAATGCAAATTTACCATGGGGTTCAACAACTCCTCATGATTGTATCTCCATCCAGCTCCACATACATAGCAGCTGCTCCACAGATAATTTGTTGACTGAATGACAGATGAGCTTTCACCATCCAGTCCTGGCACAGCTCACAGAATAAGTGCAGAGAATTACAGCAGGGAGGGGGCAGGGGAACGTGGTCCTGTTGTAAGATGCACAAGTGCTGGGGATGTCACATACAACATGGTGACAGTCACTGACGCTGCCACATGGCACACGTGAGGGGTGTGAAGAGAGGAGATGCTAAGGATTCTCACTACAAGGAAAACAATTTTTCTCTTTTTCCTTTTCGGTATCTATATGAGATGATTGTGTTAACTAAGCTTGTTGGGATAACATTTCTTGATTTATGCAAGTGAAATCATAATGCCGCACACCTGAAGTTTGCACACTACTGTATGTCAATACCTCAATAAAGCAATCAAGGACTTATTCAACAGCAAAAACCCATTGTTCTAAATATTGAGTCGAGAGATGGAACTTTGAGTGGCATCTGACTTTCGCTGAAGATTCTGCTTTGTTCTTCGGGGAAGCTGGATCCCACAAAACCAGAGACCTCAGCTGACTCTGTGAGTAAAACCCGGGAATGAAGAGGCTGTTAATGTAGTGCACGTGATGAGTAGGGCTTCCGAGTGTTCATTTCACTTTCCGGTGTCCCAGTGGAGTATTATATATTCTGGTAACAGGCAGGAGGACACTAATGAGCACCAGCTTACCTGGTTCTCTGGACGCTCTCTGTCCACCCCGAGTGAGCACCTTCTTCTCCTCCTGAGATTGATCAAGAATGAAATTTCTCAACAATTTCATCAACCATCTCTAATGAAAACAAGAATGATTGCAGCAATGATTACAGCACATGTGCTGTTTTGAATTTCTACATTAGGTATTACATTGATCAAGTCAATAAACATCTCTTTACAAAGTGTTAGGTGATGCCTTTGTGCAAACTAGGGGGAATCGATAGAACATACAGTTACAGTGACTAAATGTTCTTGACCTCCAGCTTAACCTGCTGTTTTGGAACATAACTGCATACACCTTTCACAGAGGTTTCAGCATGAGATCACTGCGGTCACAGCTGATGCTGATCAACACTTTCCCCAAACTCCCCAAATTCTAGGAGAGCCCTTGTAAGGAGAAAGTGAAGGTGCCTATAGCCAGGATTCTCACCGGGCTCTGGTCAGCTTGCTCACCGCACACGTGTGGGCAACACGTCGTTATTGTCTCTATAGAAAGCTCCGCCCGGTGCTCGGGGCTGCTGTACACCTGCAGGGCGGCGAGGCTGCAGGAGAGCAGAGACGGGAGTGGTGACGGTGATGAGGACAGAGACAAATCTGCAAGGTGGGAGTAAAATGATCCCCTGGCTGCTCCTGTCACAGAGTCGTTGTGAGGACCCGGAGGGAGACGTGAAAGCACTTGGTAAGCTGCCCGCTGGGGTGGGGATCCTCTGGGTGGAGCAGAGAGTCAGCAGCCACGGGACGCCCCCCTCAGCCTCCTCCCTTTGCTGAAGTTCTACCCCCCGGGCAGGGGCTCCCTGCAGGGGGCGGCGGGACTGGGTCAGGGAAGATGGCAGCCTCACCCATCCCATCCACCAGCTGCTGGGGCCTCACCTGGGCTCTGGCTGGGGCAAAGGGCTGGACTCAGCCCCTTCAGAAGGCCTGGGCCCTAGTGCTAGGCCCCCCACTAGTTCTGAGCCTGGGTGAAAGTGAAGACCTCGGACCCTAGAGCTCAACAACCACATTTGAATCTCAACCCCACTAGAAATTGGTTACGAGACAATGTCTGGCACTTATGCTTTCTGTGCCCCATTTGCTTACCTGTGAAAAAGGGGCATAGCAGTGCCTACCCAGAGGACTGTTGGGCAGATTGGACCAGTTCCTGCAGGCCAGCACTCAGAGCAGTAGCTGTTAGGGGTGTTGCCTGATGCGAGGTCCCGCTCTGGGCGGTGTGTCCCCGTCTGTACTCCCCACTGAGACATCTCCCTCTTCAGAGCTCAGGCCTGAATGGGCTGTCTTCTCCCAGGCCTTGTTTGCCCCCGCTTCCCCTCAGGAGCCCCTGGTTCCTACTGGCCTGGGGCCCCCAGACACTTAATGACAGATAAGTGGAGGAGAGCAGAGGGGGAGGAGGGACGCTTCAGAAAGTCCTCGTGGGGCACAGAGCTGAGCCAGGCAGGGGCCTGTGGTTGGGATGAGTTCCTCTCAGTCAGGCTTGGTCAGCGTCCCTCATGGGCGGATGCAGGAACGGACCCAGGCAGGCACGGGGTCACACTTTCAAAACTCAGTTCCCAGGGACTCTGTCATCTTCATGTCTTTCCAAGGGAGAGGTGTCACCCAACAAAGGCCATCATGGGATGGCCAGCCCAGCGCACAGCCCCAAAACACTGACATTGGGGCGGTGCAGGAAAACAGGCTTCCTACAGACTCCTGATACAGACTGCAGGGGTTTTTATGGGCAAAATTAGGGGTGAATGGAACAGGGTGCATGACCAGCTCACGCTCATTCTCTGATGGGTCCCTGGGGAGGTAATGGGGGCTGTTTTGTGCCTCAGTTAATGGTGTTCTGGCTGCACCTGTCGTGGGTCCCCCTGCTTGTAGCCAGGAGGTGGTCTGCCTGATGGGGTCTGAGAACCTGCAAGAACACCTCAATATGAGTGTTAGAGTTTATTGGCACCCTTAAGGGAGAATAAAGGGCCCCTCGTTATGTTTATTGAGTGTGCCTTACCTCCTTATCACAACCTGTCTTTTGTAACCCCCAACTGCTTGTCAACACACCTCTGTGGGGCATTGGATTCTCTTAGATGTGTTAACAGGAAGTCTGAGAGGCTCCTCCATAAAGGGGGCCCACCTGCTCTGTTTCAGAGAGTTTGAGGAAGAAAGAAGGGTCCACAGCATCCCTGGTTCGTGCTGGTCTCAGCCTGTGGACAGTAAGTCTTCCATCCAGAAATACCTGTGGGGCTTGCCTGGGCCTGGGGGGCTTCCCACTACATCTCCCCTTCCCACCCAATGTTACCACTGGATCGAACTTTTGGTTCTTACTGTGGTTGTGGATGCCCTTCAGCAGCAACCGTCGAGAAAGTTGGCAAAACAGAGGTTTCTTCCTTACCAGACCTGGAGATGACACAGCACACCTGGGGCCTGACAGAGGTCAGGCAGAGGGAGCCCTCGGCCAGGGCCCTCTCTTTATTGGGATCTGGAAACGTAAGCGGAAGAACTTAAAGGTGGGGAGGAGAAACCACGGGTTGCCCCAGAGGGCAGGTAACCCAAATCAAGGGAGAGCTGTACCTCAGAGGAGCCTCCATGGCGGGAGGAGGCCCGGTTCTAGGTCTGTCCTGAGGCTGGCAGGGGGTCTCCAGGAGTGGGTGCCTCTGAAAAGGGGGCCTTGGCAATCAAAGGTGAAGCCCACAACAAACAACTGTCTGGCCTCCCACCAGCCAAATGATGCCCACTGTACATGTCCTGAGTTATACAACTCAGTATTTCTTGGGGATTTCTTTTTTTTTATTTCCTCAGATGTTCATCATGGTGGTTCACTAGCCCCCTACCCCTACCCCCACCTCCGTCCACTCCAGTCCCCCTTGGTAACCACTAGTCCTTTCTCAGTGCCTCAGTCTAATGCTTTTGTTCCTTCTGTTCTGCTTTGTTGTCATGCTCCACAAAGAAGTGAAATCATATGGTATTTGTCTTTCTCCACCTGGCCTTTTTCATGGAGCCTATTACCCTCTTGATCTATCCATGTTGTTGCAAATAGCAGGATTTCTTTTCATGTCTGAATAATATTACATTGTGTATATGTTCCACATGTTTTTTATCCGTTCACCTATTGATGGACACTTCCAAATCTTGTCTATTGCAAATACTGCTGCGATAAACATACGGATTCATATGTCTTGATGAGTCAGGGATTTTGTTTTCTTCAGGTAAATTCCTAGTGGTGGAATGACTGGGTCAAATGGTATTTCTATTTTTAGTTTTTTGAGAAAACACCATGCTACTTATCACAGCAGTTGCACCGATTTGCAGTCCCACCAACAGTGTAGGAGGGTTCCCCTTTCTCCACATCCTCGCCAGCATTTGTTGTAGTTTGTCTTTTGGATGTTGGTTGAGAACAATTTTTAATGCCTGCTGTGTGCTCAGCCCTGTGCTGGTGGGTTTTGGAACCTCAGAAGGAACCTGAGAAGGGCTTGGAATTAGGGAAACTGATGACTCAAATGCACACTTTTTCCCGTACTGACATCTCTGCAATCAGGATGTGTGTTCAAACCCCCACAGGTTCACTGTCACACACACTCACTGTTTTCACTTTACGGTGGTCCATAAAATCATGGCACATCAGAGGGCTGCTGGCATCGTGGGTTGAAGAACATGGTGTCACTGTAATCATTTCTAATGGGAGCTGACGTCTTTGGGTGTTTATCCTGTGCTGGGCTCTGTTCTCTGCCCTTTACCTGGATCATCTCATGGGACCTTGTGACATTGCCGTCATAGCACTTTGTGGATGAGAATCTGAGAGAGGTGGTGTGATTTGCACAAGGTGGAGGCTCTTGGATGGAACGGGAGAGGTCTGGCCTGAGCTCTGCCCCATGCTCGTTTGGGGAATTGGGGGGGGACTTGCTGGATGCTTGGAGTCTGGGTCACTTAATGGGTTCAGACTGTATGAGCACCTTTTAAAGCAGCAGACGCCTTTGTTCACACCATCTCTGTGGTTGGACGGGCCTGGGGAAACGCACAGGAGCTTGGCCTTCTCGACCTGGCCTCCTCTGAAACTCTCCCAAGGTATCTCTAATTTTCATTATCACCTCCTCAAGGAGACTTTTTAGACACTTTTTCCCCTTAGTTGTTCCTTCTGAAATTTTAATTCCATAGATGTTCTGGATTTGTTTATGTGCCGTGTGCATCAGAAGAAGGCTTTTAAAACCCGCCCTCAAGAACCAGTGTTTGCGTGTGGAGCTGATACTGTCCCCACTGAGAACGGGTGCTCCACGGGACCCCTCCCAGAGGCCAGTCAGAGAACGTGGGTGAAGCCTAGAAGTTCTTAGCCCAAGCCACACAAAGGAATCACCTGGGAGGCTGCAGGTCATAGCCAGGCCCCAGCCTAGAGATGCTGAGTTGATTGGTCAGGGGTGTCCCAGGACTCCTTTGTTTGAAAATTAATAAATTTCATATTTTAGAGCAATTTCAGGTTTATACAAAAATTGGACAGAGTACAGAGTTCCCGTGTAGTCTTTCCCCACCACACACAGCTTCTCCTACCACCATCTTGCATTCATGTGGCCCATTGTTAATAATCTATTAACTAAAGTCTGTAGTTTACACTAGGGTTCACTCTTTGTCTTGCACGTTCTATCAGCTTTGCCAGGTCCATAATACCATGTATCAGCCTTTATGGTATCACACAGAGTAGTTGCAGTGCTCTCAAAACCCACCATGCCCCCCCTACTCATCCCCTTCCTCCCGAACCCCTGGCCGCCAAGCCACTTCCCATTGATTTGGTTTTTCCACAAGGTCCTAGAGCTGGAATCATTCAGTGTGTAGCCTTTTCAGATTGGTGCCTTTTGCTTAATAATATGCATTTATAGTTCCTTCATGTCTTTTCAGGGCTTGCTCACTCAGTCTTTTTGTCACCAAATAATATTCCATTGCATGGAGGTACCACTGTTTTTCAGTCCATCTGTGGAGGGAAGAGGCATACTTCTAAAAGCTTCTGGGGTATTCTCTGGGCCTGAGGCTATCCTCTTTGGGGCATCCTTTTCTGTAACTGGATTGTACAGGGGTCCTCTGCTTCCCCCAGGAGACTTCTTCAGGCACAGGCATGAGTTTTAGACCCAGGCAGACCTGGGTTGAATATGTGAGCCTCAGTTCCCCCAGTTGTAAGACAGAAATTCCCACTTTACATGTGGTGGGAATGACAAGTTGAGACCCCAATTTTGGGCCAGGCACTGAGGTCAGGGATGGCTGTCCCACATTCTTGCTCCATTTAGTTTCCTCTCCTGAGTATTCTCTGATAAGCCGGAGTGGTTCAGGAAGGCTTCCTAGAGGAAGGGGCCCTCCTGCATACCCATCTTCCTCAGACCCTTCTGCCCTCCCTCTACTGCTGAGCCCTCTCCTGCCTCCCTGTAGGTGCAGGCGGCTGCCAGGCGCTCCAAGGAGCACAGCCTCAACGGCTCCCTGTCTGTGCGCATGTCCAGCTGGGAGCTGGTTCTGCCGGAGGCCGCCACCAGCCAGGACGCCTGGAGAAGCAGCCAGAGCTGGGGTGTGAACATGCTTCTCCGCCAGGTGGCCCTCAGAGCCCCCAGCACTGTTCAGCTGCCGTTGTCTGGCAAGAGCACCCCAGGTGGTCTGCAAGGGGGCGGGAGCCCCTGAGGGCAAAGGGCTGGCATCCTTGGAGATGGGAAGGCATCGCTCAGTCCCCCTCTCTGTCCCTCTGGGACCAGGCCCACATTACCCCCACTGGTGCCATTCTTGGTTTTAAGGCATTGCAGCAATGGAAGGAGGAGACACTCAATTTTCTATCTTCTTCTTTTTTCATATCTTTTTAAGTTAAAACTGCATTCGAATAGATGACTTGAAAGATTATAATGTATAGAGAGTAAAACAGAAATCCCTGGAGAGAGTCATGGGGAATATGTTGGTGTATTTCCCTCCTGTATTTTCTCTTTAGCCACATCCTCATGTATAGATAAATCCACTATGACATGGCTGTCAGCTCCTGGGACAGGGACCAGCTGCTTCAGACCCAGCTCTGCCTTCACTGCCTCTGGGGCCTCAGGCAAGCCGCTGTGTCCTCTGTGCCTGAGTTCCTCAGCCTCCCTCCCAGGACTGTCCTAGGACTAACTGAGCAGCACATGTGAGTTCCCGAGCAGCACCTGGCCAGCGAGTGTTCATTACCCAGCTGCTCTCAATGCTGCTACTCTGAGCATGGCACGTTCTGGCACACACTGGGCCTCCATTAAATGGTCGTTCCCTTTTTCCCCTGCAGTCTCAGCTTTGACAGCTTTTTTGAATTCGCAGAGACCCAAAGCTTTGGACATGGACCTAGATAACCCTGTTCCCAGAATTACCACCTATGGCTGGCTAGCCATCCGTCTGTTCATCCATCTGTCCAACTGCCCATCCTTATCCCCAAGTCTTTTGAGGCAGATTATAAAAATGTATATTGTTCTAGGTCAGGAATTGGCAAACTTTCAGTAAAAGGTAGATGGTAAATAGTTTTGGCCATATGGTCTCTGCTGCAATTACTGTGCTGTTGTGGCTCAAAAGCATCATAAAAAACATGTAAATGATTGGGTGTGGCTGCATGCCAAGAAAACCTTATTTACTAAGCAAATGGCAGACTGGTTTTGACCCACACAGGCACATAGTTTGCCAACTCTTGTTCCAGATTTTTTGTTGTTTTTTTTTGAGAGGGCATCTCTCATATTTATTGATCAGATGGTTGTTAACAACAATAAAATTCTGTACAGGAGGGTCAATGCTCAATGCACAATCATTAATCCATCTCAAGCCTAATTCTCATCAGTCTCCAGTCTTCTGAAGCATAATGAACAAGTTCTTACATGGTGAACGAATTCTTACATAGTGAACAAATTCTTATATGGTGAACAGTACAAGGGCATTCATCACAGAAACTTTCGGTTTTGATCACGCATTATGAACTATAAACAATCAGGTCAAATATGAATATTCGTTTGATTTTTATACTTGATTTATATGTGGATCCCACATTTCTCCCTTTCTTATTAT